TGCAGCCGCCAGGGGAGTGAATCATCAGACGAAAGATCTTCCTCTCTGTCTCTCCTCCTCTCTGTATAGCTGCCTTTCCAATAAAAGTAAATAAATCTTTAAAAAAAAAATCAACTTAAAAATTGACCTGCTGGAGATTGACTCAATTTTGTGTCCTGCCTACAGGAGGCAAGTTCCACCAGCTGTGTGTTAACAAGCCCCCCACCCTCGCTGTGGGAGCCTGTAGGATGTCCCACAAAGCAGGGAAATAGGGTGGGGGGCTCAGCACAGAGTGCAGGCTTCCACCCAAGCCTGAGCCACAAGACAACAACGTGGCCAAGACAAGCCCCGTCCACCTCTGGCCAGGGGGCCTGGTTTTGAATTCTGGTTGCACCACTTAGCAGACATGTGACTTTGGACAAGGGACTTCACCTTCCTTTGCCTCGGTTTCCCCACCTGCAGACGATAACAGGAAGCACTTCCAGGGGCAGAGGAGAACATGAGACATCTCGGTAACGTCTTCCTGCTGACATGGGCTTCCTTCACGACAGGGACGGCCCCTGCTGCTCCTCTGTCACAGCCCAGCGCAGGTGGGCACAGAGTGACTCAGACGTCAGCCCGCCCCGGGGACCCAGTGTGCCCCATGAACACTCATGGGGTGAAGGGGTCTCGTGCCCAGGGTGTCGGTGGGCAGGGGCCTCCCTCTGTGCTTGCCAAAGCCATCGCATTTCCTGCGTGAAGTGCATCCGCAGTGCAAAACAACGGCCTGTTCTTACATCACATGCCCACAGGTCTCTGTGGCTTCCTGACCAGGCTCCATCTCCCCTGGGGTGCCCCATCCTGCCCTGGGAGGTGCCAGGTGCTGGCCCTTCTCAGGGGAGGCCGGGGTTCCTCCATCTCAGATGCTCTCCAGCCTGGGAGACACGACTCTGAGCCAAGTTCCAGATTTCCCACGTCTGGGGTCATTTGCTCCAAGGAACCCAGCCATGGGGCTGTGAGAAAGTCCATGCCATGCGAGATTGGCAGAGGTTCATAACTGTTGAACTATCAAAACCACTTGAGCAAGACCCTCGGAGCATGCCCCACATCGGGGACCTGGGCTGGGTGGGAGACTGGCTGGGGCTTCTCCCTTAATATCCCCCTTTACCTCAGATACATGAAGAAAACAATATGGAAATAATAGTCTTACCCACTTTCCAGTAGCCCTTGAACCTTTTTACCCTAATTAACTATGTAAAGATTGTCAAAAATATAATAAAAAAATGAAAAAAGTGAAAAAAAAAGTCCACGCCGTGGAGGGAGCCAGCAGTCCAGATCCACTTGCAGGCCCTTCAGAAGTGCAAGCTCCAGCCCCAGTGCAGGGGTGGTGTGCAGAGGGGCCAGAGCAGCCAGCACAGTCAAGCCAGTCACTAGTCAGTTGCTAATCAGCTACTTGTCAGCTGATAGTCAACTGGTCAGTTGCTAGTTAGTTACTAGTCAGTTAATACATTGGAAAACATAGGCTCACCTTGCAGGTCACTGAGAGGCCCCTGGACAATGGCCACAAGGCCTCATGGGACAGTCCCTGTGAAGGACAGTGACAGTCTGTGGACCCGGCAAAAGCATGACACCTCAAGGCCTCTAGTTCGAGAATTACTAATTTTCCAGATGGTGACAGCATGGAGCCCTCTGTGACAGCACAGGTCCCAGTCCAGAGTGGGATATTCCACTCTGCTCCAGCGTACGTCACGGGGACTCAGGCAGAGTTCCTCCATCACTCTCTGATTTCAATTCCCTTTGAACATTATATATATATATATAATTATAAATATCATAATTATATATTATATATATATATAATTTGAAAGACAAAGTCACAGAGACAGAGGGATAGAGTGCCTTTCTTGGTTCATTCCCCCAGATGGCTGCCATAGCTGGAGCTGAGCCCATCTGAAGCCAGAAGCCAGGAGCTTCTTCTGGGTCTCCCACATGAGTGCAGTGTCCCAAGATGCTTTTCCAGATGCATTAGCAGAGAACTGGATGGGAAGTAGAACAATTGGGACTTGAATCCACACTCACAGCAGATGCCAGCTCAAGAACTTTTAACACCAGTTTTGCTTTATTTTGAAGGAAGGCTAAAAGCCAGCCCATCTTCCTTGTTGTTCACTTGGACTTGAGAGAAACCCAGCCCTCAGCCCCAGCTCCTCCAGGCAGCGCCAGGCTGGGATCGCGGGTAACCCACTGACACCACGGGGTGCAGATTCGTGTCTGTAGAACGGAGAGGCGCTATCTTGACCTGCCTTCCCTCAGGGACCCTCTGCCCAGGGGCTCCGAGGCAGAGAGGGCAGCTGGGTTGTCCACCGGCTGGTGTCCAGCAGAGTTGCCCTGCACGGGAGCCCAGCCCCGCCTCTGGTGCCACACTTACACACACCTTCGGGAAAAGCTGCCTCAAGGGACACAGCCTGGTTGGGTTTCCTTTGCGGGCTTTCTTGAGTCAGATGGCCCGTGCCCAATGGGCTGCCCGACCTCGGGCAGGATTCAGTGACTCTCCATGCCTCCCCATAAACGAGCTGAGTTGGCCCTGATTCACCTGCTCAGCTGGGGTGACTTGGAGGTCACAGGAGCTAGTCTGGGTGAAACACATGCAGCCTGACCACAGGGACAGCCAGGCCCACCTGTGCATAGGAAGGGACCAAAAATCACAGGGCTAGCGGGGATGTGTGACAGGGGCTAGTTGCCTCGACTCTGAACCTTGATTTGTGAAGAGCCTGCCGATAGCCCCGGCAGCTTTCGGGGTGTCACCATGACACTCAGACACTGAACCTGACTGTCCAGCAGCCCTGAACCACAACTCCCGCATTGCACCTGGCCTTGAAACTGTTTCAATGACTTCCCTAAGCCCCAAAGGGAAAGGAGAGACTACAGGCACGGCAATGTTCTCCATGCAAAAACAAATGTCCCTCCCACAGCCCCACAAGGCCAGCAGCACACCCAATCCCTTTAGTATGGGTCTGTCCTTCCGGGAAGCCACCTGAGGAAAGTGAAGCCTGGCCCGGCTGCCTCCTGCCCTCTGACACTGATAGCAGGGCGTAGCCGCCCTGAAGTCAGGCGTTCCCTTAGCTCTCCGAGCCTTTCTGGGAAGCGCCTCCAGCCACTGCGTGCTGCCCAGCCTCCCTTGGAGCCGGCTGGCCACCACCCTCCCTGGGCTGTGCTGTGGGAGCCCTAGGAACAGGATGTGTATTGTTCCCAGCAGGAGAAAAATAAACCTGGTTCCAGGCTGGGGAATAGACTCTTGGGCAGCCCACCCTCTCTGCCTAACTCACTCTGCTTTCTCTCAAATCCAAGAGCATGCACCAGGCCTGGGGAGTTTGCCAGCTGGCTGGGCCATCACTGGGGTGGACCCCAGAAGGTACCTTTTCTCTGTGAAGCTTCAGGCCAAGGGCTTCTCAGGGAGATGGACACCCCCATACACAGGTGAGGAAAGTGACGCCATGGTGCCGACGTGGGTGTGCAGGGAGGCAGGGCCTGTGTGAGATGCTGGGTTCCTTCTGTCGGGAATCTGCCATCTCTCACTTCCTTGGGTCTGACTGGCTGGGGGTAAAGCGAGGCCATGGCTCACACCTGCCTCCCTTGTGCCTCCATCTGCCCTGGGTTGAAGCCGCTCGTGGCCTTCACCAGATGCAGCTCCTGGTTTTGCTTTACCGAGCCCCCAGGACCCCAAATTGAAAGACCCCTCTTGTCTTCATGAATCACCCAGTAGTGGATGCTGAGTTAAAAGCCACAGCAAATGGTGGGAGACGCAGGCTTTCAGAGATCAAAGACTGTAACCACCAACGCCTGGCTGGTGAGTGACAGAGCTGGGATTTGAACCAGCGTCTGAGCGCAGAGAGCAGCTGCCATCATTGATGTCAGGTCATGGAGCCCGTGATTGGCTCTGCCTTGAGCCCTGCTTGTGCCTCTGCCCTACCATGGGAGACCTATGTCCTGTGAGCCTGGGCAAGGGTGTCAGGGTGTGTGCCTTACTCAGGGGAAGGCAGCAGGGGCCCTACGGGTACTCGGCATGCTGGGCCTCATACTCCAAGGGATCACCCTTGAACCTTCACTATTCATACCCAGCCATTCCATGCTGCTGCCCTCCCGGACACCCCCTCCCATGCCTCTGAAACCCTAAACTCCCTCCCTTCTCCCACATGAGGGCCAAGAAGAGGAAGGAGAGATGGGAGACTGCAGTTGAACATGATCCTTTGTCCTTGCAGTGTCATTTCTGCCCGGCTCCACACATCTGTGTTGTGACCATAACACAAGGGTCACCAGGTCCTGTGCTTGCAGGACCCCCGGAAGCAGGACAGGGGCTGGAATGGAGAGCGAACTGACACTGGCATCCAACTTGGAGTTTCTCAGAACCCTAAAACAGCTTTATTGGGAAGCTGTGCCACCTGCCATCACTCCCTTTTTACACCTGTTCCAGAAGGGCATGGCAAAGGTGCTTTATAGCCTGGCAACTGCTACCCTGAAAGGTGGGGCTTGCCACCAGGAGGTCGGCACAGGCAGCGGTTAAAGAGGGGAGTCTCCCCTCCCCACCCACCTAGGGAAATGATGCCAGGGACATGCACTCTCGCTCCTGCACCGACCCCGTGATGGGCAGTAGCTTCCTCACGGATGTGCTGGGGGTGGAGGGAACAGCCCTCAATCTCATGCAGCCCACACACAGCCTGTCACCGGAGGCTTCCAGCTGGCAGCCTGCAGTGGGGGCAGGCCGCTGAGCTGGGGCCCCGGAGGCAGGCAGGGCCCTTCCGGCTCAGGCACAGAGCACAGTGAGCACACACACCTCCTCTTCCTCCCATAGCCCCAGGTCCGCTCCGTCCAGCCCTGTGGTCCCCAACACAAACACCCAAAGGGGCCTCCAACAAGAGGGCTTTACTGAGAGCGTTCTCAGAGGGTGGCCTCGGGCCAGGGCATGGTTGTTGGGGATGGTGGGAAAGGACTTCCAGCACTGCAATGGGGAGCAGGCTCCTTTCACAGAAGTATTCCAGCCACCAGAGCCTGCGGTGGTCTCAATGTCCACGGTGTGGGTGCTGCGGTGAGAATTCCTGTGGCTGAAACACCCTTAGGTCCCAGAGGGTCACTTCAGTCTCACTATTTTCTGTTATTGAGGGGAGTCGGGGACTTCCACATTGTGTGTGAAGGGTCACCAGGTGAGGCAGTGTGTCATTTCTTTAAACTGTGTGTTGGGATCCAGCAGGTGCATGGCAAGCGCCCTCACCAAGATATGTCTGGGGAGGGCAGGAGCAGAGTCCACCCACTCCATCCTTTCTCCCACTAGGCAAACAGCACCCGTGCCACCCACACTCCTCCTGGCCAGTGTCCAGGTGCCATGGCCACCACTTCTGGCCACAGCACAGCCCCTCCAACTTTCCCCAAAACATTGCAGTGGGTTCAGAAACTGGCCTCGTGATTGCTGGCCCAGCCCCCACTTCCTCCAAAGAGTGAGCAGAGGTGAGTCACTGTGGCTTTCCCAGCCGGGCCCCGTGGGTAAGTCCAGGAGACTCCAAGCCACCCAGCTCTCCCAACCCCGGCTACTGTGGACTTGGTTGAGGCCTTGGGTTTGCGGAGTCAAGGCTGCCGACCCTGTGAGAACGAGCCTCAGTCTGCAAGTCTGTACACAAATCCTGAAGTCCAGGCCGAGCAACCAAACGCTTGGTTCCAACGTTCCCAGCCAAGGCAAGATGTCTGGGTGCAAGGCAGGTGCTTGACAACACCGTGCCCCAATGGGGCAGAGCAGCAGAGGTAGACGATGGGGCAGGAACCCATGGATTTGCAAGTGTGGCAAAGCCGAAGGAAGGGAGACACCTCTTCCTTTCCTGAGAGAGGGCAGGTGGGGCCCGCAGAGCCGCTGAGGACCCTGGAAAGGGTCGGCAGTTCCCCAGCTCTATGTCCAAATAAGCTGGGATGAGTGGGATTGGGGGTGTGGCGCTCCTGCTAGTCGCCTGGATTCTGGATGCCTCCTGTTGCAGGGGCTGCTGTGGATGGTCAGGGGCCAGTGAATGAGAATGGGGGGTGGAACGGGAGCAGGGCTAGGGGCCAGGCAGGGACCTGGCCCGTGAAAGCTGTGGTCCAAAGTATGCCAGCATCGCCCCATTGCTTCCACTTTCCCTGGACTCAGGAGGAACCGCTATAGGCACTGGCGGGAGTTGGAGGGGCACACATGCACAGTGACGAGGGGCTGCAGGCAGGGCGACAAGGCCAGTGGGCATCATCTCTGAGGTCACAGGAGGGGGAGCTGTGCAGGCAGGGAGTGGAGTCAGCCTCACCGTCTCTCCCTCAGTGCACACTGACCCTTGTGCTGGGTCAATGGTGCCAAGGCACGGAGCTGGTGCCCACAACAGCAGACAGAGCAGGGGCCCTGTCCTGGCCATTGATCTGTGGTCCAACAAACTCACCAACTGGAAACACCCCTCAGAAGTAGCTTCTGTACAGGCCACAGGATGCCAGAACCTGCATTCAGGTCCCAGCTTGGCACTGCCAGTGTCCTGGCCTCTCCAAGGGCATCCAGCTGCCCTCCCAGCCCCATCCAGATCAGGCCTCACTTCTCAGAGACCATCGTGGGCAAGGGGTCTTCCTTCCCCTCCTCCTCCACAGAGAACATGACATCACCACAACTGCCCAGGGGTGGCTCCGTCTCCTGCTCCGGGTAGTGGGGTGCATGGTCCACCTCCAGCTCTTCCTCCAGTACCGCCGCCGTCGGCTCGGCTGTCCCCGCCACAGCCCAGCCCTCAGATGCCTCAGTCTTCACTGTCCCCACAATCACTGTGTCAGCCTTCATGATGTAGATCTTCTCTGCAAGACAAAGATGAAAATAGCTGAGCCCCAGGGAGCCAGGCAGCAGAGAAGGGCCCAGGGCTCGTTGGAGCCATTCCCATGGTGTGGCTCCATGCAGATGGCACAGCCTCTCAGTGCAGGGTGCCCTACCATCCTGACAGAGCTCCAAGGCCCAAAGGAGACATGACAGCTGGGACTTGGGCACTGAATACCCACTTAGTACTCAAGGTGGGTGCCATGATGTTCTGAGCACTTTGTCGGGGTCAGGGAGGGTGAGGGTGGGTAAGAATAGACTCCGAAGAAGAGGGTGTGCGCCAGGCATTCCCTGCACTCCCGGGGCTCAGCACAGCTGCAAGGTAGAGCAACCACTGTCATCCCCATTGGACAGGTGAGAGCTTGAAGCTAGAGAGGCCAACTGGGCTAGCCAATGTTCCCAGGTAGTCAGTAGAAACCCATGGAAATGCTCAGCCAGCCTGGCTGCCAACTTCCGCCCTGACCACATGCTTCCCAGGACACCTGCAGGAACTGCACTGTCCTGGTCCCTGCCCCACTCTCCATCCTCATCCTGACAGTCCTGGCTTCATGCAAGAAGATCCACTCTGGGGTCACAGCTCCCAGTTGCCCAGGCCAGTGAAGGTGCCCAGAGCAGCTGGACGAACACAGTCTGGCTCAGGATGTGAAGTTAGGGCTTATGGCCACAGCCTGTCTGCTTGCCCTGGGCCTACTGTACACAGCAGGTGCAAGGGAGGGCAGCTGGTCAAGCCCAACCCACCAGAGGTAAATTTCTTATGATCCCCAACACAGTCCTATGTGGGGGTTCCAATGTGGCCTTTTTTTAAAGGGGGATACAGAGATCCTTGGGGGCTGGGCAATGGGCTGGACTTCAGCCTATTTCCACGGCTTCCAGCTGGGGGGCAGAGACCTAGCTGCCAGCTGCTCCACCCTGAACTGTGCAGAGAGAAGGGAACACTCCAGAAGGAAGGAGAGAGTGGGGCCCAGAGGGGCTGGGGCTCAGGGAGCCCTGCCTCTTGGGGTGATTTGGTCACATTCTCAGACTCAGAAGCTCCAAAAAGGTTCTCCAGGGCCCCTGGCTTTGGCTCTGTTGCACAACACCAGCCCTTTTATTTTGGTCTGTGTGCCCCACCCTGTCCCACCCAACCCCCCAGCCCAGAAAAGAGAGAAGTGTCTAAAGTGACAGTGAGAACTAGTGGTCAGCCTGAGAAGATTGGGAGACTATGGACAATAGGGGCCCCAGCCCACAGCCTCCACCAAGCCCAGGGCCCCTGGCTTGGTGAATCTCCACCCAAGGGGCTGGGCAGAAAATGGGGCCCAGTGGACAAGAAGGGGCCAGAGAGATGGGAACCCCAACAGGAAGACAGTTGGACAGAAGAAAGATGCAAGGCGGGCAGGACGGGCATGGGCAACATGGAGAGACCAAACATGGACAGAAGTAGCCCAAACCTGGGACCACCACCAGCCCTGCTGCTTTCTGTGGACTTGACACCCCTGGCCCTGCCTCTGACACGGGGCTGACCACCCGCCAGGATGGGGTCTTCCAAAAGCTGCTTGGCTTCCTGCCCCTGCAGGAAAGAACAGCAGGGCCAGCTGATGACCAGCTTTGGGCCCAGGACTAAGACTCCTGGACTTCACTCTGCAAGGAGTGGGGAGCCATTGGAGGCGTCTTAGCAGGGGCACAATATGATAGTTTATACACTTGGGACACTTTACAACACTGGCTGTCCCAGGCTGAAGAGAAGCAAGCCAGGAGGCTGGGAGGGAGCAGGGCACTCACCCATGCTGTAGCTCAGAGAACCCCTCTGGACAAGTGTGCACTCAGGGGCCTCAGACCCAGCACCAGAGGGCGTGGGTCCCTGCCACACCAGGTGACAAGGGGAAATCACCCCAGTCAGAGCTGTGGGACACACTCCTTCCCCAGGAAGGGGTGTGGCATCAGAGAATAAGAGGTGATGGCCACAAGAGTGGTAGGCATGTACCGGGTACATGTGGGGCTTCCTGTCGCTGGTCCAGCTCCCTTAGCACCCCTGGGTGCTTGGACCTGGGGCCCAGGGGTACATTTCATTTGAACATCTTTGACCCTCCTTGTGCAGCATAACAGTAAATCTGCTCTTCCTCCCAGTTCACTGAACCCTGAATCCAGAAACAGAGAAGGCAGCTTCTGCTCCAGGAGCCCCAGTACTGCCTGCCAGGGGTCCAGCCCTGTCTGCTTTGCCCTCTCGGCCATGGCCACCCAAGGACTCACCGATCTTGTTATTGGTATTCTCCGTAGACACACGGTGCTCCGGCAGCTCCCAGGAGGACGAGGGGCCCCTGGCCAGGGCAGTCTTCAACAGTGGGAGGTCCTCAGGGCAGGTGGCGCCCACGTTTTGACAGGTCTCCACAGGCAACTTGGGGTCCAGCTCTGTCATTACTACATCACTTCTTGGCTGTTGCAGGGGGGTGCGGGAAGGACAGGCACTGAGCCCAGCACCCCAACCTCCCCCAGCCTCAGAACCAGGAGCCTACCTTTGACCTCAGCGGCCCCCTGGGAGTCTGGCTCAGCTTGGGTTTGAACTAAATAGCAAGGGTCGGGGCTGTGGCTGTGGCAGAGGGGTTAAGCCAAAGCTCACAACACTCTCACTTGAGTGTGCCAGAATGAGTTCCAGCTGCTCCACTTCTGATCCAGCTCCCTGCCAATGCACCTGGGAGAGCAGTAGATGATGGGCCAAGTGCTTGGGTCGCTGCACCCACGTGGGAGACCTGGATAGATTGCCAGCCTCCTGACTGTCGCCTGCCTTGGCCCCAGCTGTTGAGGCTATGTAGGAGTGAACCAGTAGATGGCAGATCTGGCTCTTTCCCTCTCTTTGCCTTTCCAATACATACGTCAATCTTTCTAAAAAATAAACAATACAGGTGATAATGATGAGAAACTCATTCAGTGCTTAGCACGTGCACAGCCCCGTCCTAAGGCCTTGCCATGTGTGAGTCCTCGCCACTCCCATGCATGTAACACAGCCATCCCACACATGTGCAGGTGTAGCACACCTTTATAGACAAGGAGACTGAGGCCCAAAAAAGTCAACTAACTTGCCCAGTGTCTGGGCCTGGATTCAGACTCTCTCGCTGCCTAAGCCCCCTTTCTAAGCACTAAAGTGTGTCAGCTCCAGCCTGGACCCCCTGGACGGTCACCTCTCACCATGACACTCAGGTGTTTCTGGGTAGTGGACAGTCCTTTGTTACTTTCACAGGCGACCACCAAGGAGAAGTGGCCTGCTTGTGTGATATTGACCTTGGCCCTCCAAGGGGAATGAGTGGGTATGATTTGAAGGACACCCTCCTGACCTTGACTTTATGTCATGACACTTTGGCCAATAGATCCCACGGCTCCACACAAGTCACTGACGTATGAGAGTCACCTGCTGGCCCCTGTGGAAGAGCTTAGCCATTGTCCAGTCCCTTCCTCGGGGACTCTGAGTGCTACCACAGCAACTGGTTAAATGCCAGCATGGGGAGCACCCTCTCCAGCGCGAACCGGAACTAGCCCTGTGCTTCTGTGTACCACACTGAAGAATTAAAAAGCAGAAACTTCTCTTAGTGCACGAATGCTTGAATTACAGCAAAGGAATGGAAAAACTGATACATTGGGGGAAAAAAATGAACCCAATACACCTGAGAGAGCCAGGGGCCACTGTCCCTCAGCCCCGGGAGGCAATGCCCCCTGCGGAAGCGGACCCAACACAGACGCCCTCCACCCCCCACAGCGGGAACCCCCCATGGGGATCTGCAGTGACATCAGCAAGTTTGTGGCTGCACACAGCGTGGGGACCGAGCTCTCACAAAGCAGGGCTCCTGTCCTTCCCAGCACCGGCCGCAGAGGCATCTGACTGGCCCGGGCCACCTGGTTCCTCTTTTCTGAAGCAGGACAACAGGGGCTGACACTGTGGCTTAGTGGACGCTGTTAAGTCTGTGGCGCTGGCATCCCCCTGTGGGCACCCCCTATGGGTCCTGGCTGCTTGGCTCCCTGAGCCCATGAGGGAGATCCAGCAAAGCTTCTGGTTCCTGGTTTTGGTCTGGCCCAGCCCCATCTGGGAAATGAACCAGTGAATGGAAGATCTCTTTCTCTCCCCTTCTCTCTCTATCTCTTGCCTTCCAAATGCCTTCCAATAAATCTTTGGAGATAGCTCAACAGATCAAGTAGGACATGAGTCCAGCCCTCCAACGTGGTGAGGATGACCTGAGAGAAAGGCACCTAGCTTGTGATAAGTGCTCCATGACACCGCTGGCTAAGCTTTAAAAACATCTGTGCTACTGATCTGTCAGCTGGCCAAGAGGGCACAGCTGACGGAGGAGTAACGGACTGGGTTACCCTGGTGCCCCCTGCTCCGGGCCCTCTGGAAAGCCCCGCAGGCCGAGCCAGGGCTGAAGGCTGCCGTGGGGGTGGGGCTCCCTTTCCCAGCCAGGGCCTCAGGCTCAGAGTTCCCCATACCCTGGCTGCTTTCCACCCTGCAGGAGTCAGGTTTCGGGGCGATGCTGACATGGGGGTACAGGCAGGGTACTTACTGCTGGGTTCCTCCAGGATCTGGAATCTGCAAGAAACAAACAAAGCAATGCCTTCATAAGGACATTGTTAGCCCCACCTTGCCCCTCTCCCCACCATGGCCCCACCCCACCTGTCACCAGGGGCTCCTTACAGTGCAGGGCACTAGCTCTGCCCAGGGTGCAGCTCTCCCGCCTAGGGACCCACAGACACCCCCAGGTCTGGGGCACTAGGGAGGAGCTACTTCTCCTGCAGCAACTGAGGAACCATTTGCATCTCCTGGCCATTCTCAGTGAGTACGCCCCACTGGTAAATCAGTGCCCACTTCCCCCACTGGGCCAAAGTGAAGCGGTGCTCACTGCCCTTGCCTTATACCTTCCAGGGCCTGGAGAGGCCAGGAGTCCTCAGACCACAAAGCCAAAGCTCACAGGGAGAACCCTAAGGCAGGGGACGGAGAGAGGAGGAGGGTCCCAAGGAACCCTGCGCTGAACAGGCTGGAAGCCTGCCACCCCAGGGCCCACGTCCCTACCCCTGGAGGAGCCGACACAGGGCCCAGCAAGAGGGCAGTCATTTTGGGGCACAGCCTTTACCCCTCATCTCAAGTTCCCCTGCTTCCCCCAACACACCAACCATTCTCTCCCCTCCCACTTGGGCCAAGGCAAGGCTGCACTCCTGCCCCACCACGAGGGGTATATCTGACACCCAGGCGCTGGGTCTATCCCTGGGCCCAGCACAGACCACCCACAAGGGAGGACTGACTGCCAAGGCTTGATAACCACACTAGCGATCCCAGTGTTGCCAAGCCAAACACCCACTGGTTCCCTGCTGCCCAGCCGGCAGCCCTGAAGCCACACCGAGGCCGCGTCCACGGGAGAGCGTGGACACACACTCCGGTGTGTGCATCTTCATGCCATCACTATGCTCAGCCTGCCCATGCTGGGAGCTGCTGGCCCTGGCACAGCGGCCATCCCGGGAGGCTGTGGTCCAGCCCCTCTAGATTGCCCCCACCCACTGCCCTGGCAACCAAGTGGAGAAGCGGCTCTCTGGCCAGAGCAGGTTCTTGCCAATGAGGTCAGAAGCATCAAGTACATCCTTTGAAGGTGCTGAGTTTGTAAACAGCTGATTGCGATTTGGTGATGCTGACACTGGGCAGCCATGATAATCATCATCTATAATAATAACAGTGTGTGATGAAGTAACAAACCGAACAAAGATCACACAGTTTAGTCCCGGAGAGGAAGCAAAACGGAACCCCGAGCAGCCAGCGCCACGGGAGCTGCGGCTGCCTTTCCAGGGGCACCGGGCTGTGCGACCCGCTGCCATTGTTTGGGGAACACACCCTCAGGAAATAACCCCCGGGGGGTGGGGGGAGAGGAAGCAAAAGGGTTGAGTGCGCCTTGGGGCTCCTAGAGGAACCAAATGCCCGGCAAGGAGGCAGCTGGAGCAGGGCCACCAGCACAGCCAGCCACCCACGGCTCCGGGCCTTGGGCTGCTTATCTGGAAAATGGGGCGAATCACGCCAACCCCAGAGGGTTTCCACAAAGACCAAACGAGGGCTTCTGGTAGTGCCTGGTAGTGAAGCGTGGTAAGACAGGTGCTCTCATGCCACAATAGCTGTGACCTCTGTGGCCTTCCTGCCCCAAGCGTCTAGTCATGAGCAAACCACTAAACAAATTCCAGGACAGGGGCATCTTGCCAAATCACAGACTGTACCCGCCAAAGGGAGCCCGAGGGGGCACACCGACAGTTCCATGTTAAGGAGACATTAGTCACCAGGGGCCAGCGCTGGCTCACTCATTGCAACAAATGTGCCCAACTCACAGAAGATTCTCTGTAAACCTAAAATCCCCATCCCCCACCGCATGCAATCTATTTAGAATTTAATTAGAATATTACGTGAGGAATGTGCCCAGGAGCACACAGTGGGCCCGCAGTCACCCAGAGGAGCGGGAGGAGGGCTCTGCTGCCCCCGCCCCCTGCAGCCCAACGGAGTCAAAGAGGAAACAGGAAGAACCAGAAGGTCCCTAAACCACCTAGAGCTGTGCTCCAACCGGGGCGCTTTGATAATGACCAAGAACAAGCGTGGCCAAGTGCACAGGTCACATTTCACAAGAGTTTTTCCCCTAACGATGTGGCTGCAGCCCGCTGCTTGCTTTTACTGATTTCCTTGCTTTTTGGAATCATCGTCATATTCTCGTAAACCCGACTGGCCTGCTTCCCTGGTGCCTCCTCTCCGGGAACCGAGCGTGTGTGACTAGGGCCATGCTGGGGGAGCACTGGATTTCCGGACCCTCGGTCCCTCCCCCTCCCCTTGGCGCTCCCCTTCTGGGCGCAGCCCTCCTCAGGTCCCCAGTCCACAGATGCTGTGGAAGGCACAACGGGCTCAAGGAGGAGGTTTGGCACACTGGCAGGCTTGGGCCAGGCATACACGAAGCCTCAACCTGGGTGGTAGGAGAGATGGTCCATCCCATTGCAGGAACATGAGAAAACGAGAGGAGCCCGGAGTGTCTGGGTCCCCTGACCTTGAGTCCAGCTTCCTGTTACCGCAGACCCACGCAGGTGCTTCAGGAGTCAGCACCAGCACCCACGTGGGAGGCCTGGGTTAGACTGCCAGCCCCCGGCTTTGGCTTGGCTCAACCCTGGCTGTTGTGGCATGTGGTGGACACATTAGTGAACAGGACAGCCTGTTCCTTTCCCCCTCCATAAAGTAAAAATAAATGTAAGAAAAATTATAGTGATAACAGATTATAACTCATTGCACAAAACAGGAGCCTCCCAGTCCATGCACAGATCAATATGCAGATAAAGGAGACAGAAATCTGATGAAGGATGAATCACCGATGGACTCAAGACACTTCCCACCAATGCGGCCAGTCTGCTGCCCGTGGGCTCTGCTGCCCGTGGGCTCTGCTGCCCGTGGGCTCTGCTGCCCGTGGGCTCTGCACCTGCAGGCTCTGCCAGCCTCGGAGGGGAGACGTGAAACAGTCATGCTTACGCTGGGCACAGACTTCTCGGCCTGGGACGCGTCCCCAGACCAAGGGTGCGGAAGATCCATCCCATGGCCCAGTCTCTAGGGCCGGCCTTGCCAAAGCAACCGCAGCTAGGACTCAGCAGGAGGGTTGTGGGGTGCTGTGCAAACACCCCGTCATTTCATGCCAGGCTCTTGAGCATGCAGAACCAACCCCGAGGGCTGCCTATGTCTACTGACTGCCAAGAAGACATCACCCGACCTGAAACGAGCCGGAAGCACTCCAGGACAGGCCAGAACCCAGCAGGGGGTCACGGGGAGGAGCCCTCAGGCCCACTGGGATCTTCTGGCCAGAAACCACAAACACACACAAGGCCAGGCACATAGGGAGGGAGGCGCACCCACAGTGCCAAAGCCGTGGAAGAGTGGACTGAAGGAGACCCAAGACACAGACCACCAAGCAACGTGCGGCCGACTAGATGCTTCCACTCTGAAGAACGTGACTGGGACAAGCAGGGGGCCGAGCAGTGAAGCCACAGCCCGAGACGTTGGCATCCCACGAGCCGCTTCTCCAGTTCCAATCCATCTCTACTCATGCGCCTGGGAAAGCAGCAGGATGATCTAAGTACTTGGGCCCCTGCCACCCATATGGGAGACCCAGCTGGAGCTCCTGGCTCCGGGCTTCAGTCTGGCCCAGCTCCAACTGCTGCAGCCATTTGTGGAATGAACCAGCAGATGGAGACTATCTGTGTGTGCGTGTGTAATTCTGCCTTTCAAATAAATAAACATATCTTTAAAAAAAAAAAAAAAAAGAAAAGAAAAACTGAGCAGGGCCTGAAGCTTCCTTGCAGGGGACATGAAGCCCTGTCTCTGGTGGCTTAGCCATGGTCATTTTTGTTTGCATAAAACACACACGGAAGGCCTGGGGACTGACACATCACCCAGACAGCAAGCTCCTCTCCCCAGCTCCCGGAAAACTAAGCTCCTTGTCTCATGCTCACAAATTTTTCTCTAAGTCTGTAGTTGTCTCAAAACAAAAATAAAGGAATTTTTTTCCATCTTAATCTGTCTGGAATAATAGCAAGGTCATGACTCCAACACCCACTGCAATGAAAGGTTATGGGACTGGTAACCCGTGGAGGGCGCATTCCCCTCCAAGGGCCATGTAGCCATGTCTGTAGAAATTTGGGTTGCGGCCAGCAGGGGGTGCCACCGCAGTAGGAAGGTTGTAGGGCATCCTGTGCCACACAGGGCAACCCCCTAAAGCAAAGAACGAGCGACCCCAAACATCCAACATGCCAAATGTGAGAAACCTGTTGTAGGAAAAATCGCAACAGCGGGATCAGAATCCGATGCCTTCTCAAGCACGTGGCTTTTGACAAGCTGCTGTGTCTTCCTGCGCTTCCAGCTGCTCGGCTGTGAGTGCAGAGTGACAGCAGCAGGTGTGTCTCAAGACCACGGCAAGAGGCCGAACGTGTGCCAGGGCACACCCAGGGCACAGGCAGTCCAGAGCCCGGATCCTCTCACCAGACGTCTCATCACGCAGACCTCGCATCCTCTCCCCGTCCAGCCAGCCAGCCAGCAGCTCCTCCCGGGAGGGGCGCATGGTCCCGCCCTGCCTGGCCGGGCAGTCACCCACTTAGGTCTGAGAGCCTGGAGAGGCCACACACAGGAAGTGCTCCCTGTAAGTGCTCTCTGCAAGCTCCTGAGCGAGTGGAGGAGCCAACAGCTGCACAGACCACCGTGTTCCCTTTGCCACCCCATCCGGTCTGTTCCCCACCCAGGGCCCTGCAGCTTTCTGGCCCTGGCTGCACCTTCCTACCCCCTGGGAACCAGACCCAAACATCGACTGGAAGCTGGGGGAGGCGGGTGGACAGACACGGGCCCACCCCGGCACGGGCCCAGTTCCTGGTAAGCCTGGCTTCGTAAGGGAGACGCTTGCAGCTTTGGGTGTTGTTGTTTTTTTTCTCATAGCTGCTGCCACGAAGGTTCGAAGAGAAAAATAAACTGACGGCGATGGAAATTCTAATACTAGAGAAAATGTCAAGAAAGCAAGGCTGGTTTCAGTGAGCTGCTGAACAAGCCGACAGCTCATGGAAACAGGCTCGAAACCACCGCAGCAGAAAAACCCACCTTGCTAAAACAGCACAAGCGTTTGCTCGTGAAACCTGACAGGTTCAAAACACACTCCAGGGCGCTGTGCGCCCCGGGGTGACCTCTGCACACAGCAATGGCCGATGACCTCAGGTGGACACGGGCGGGAGGGCAGCTAGTGTAGACAGAGCTCAGGGAGAAAGGAACGGAGACGGGCCGAGCCCCCGGGGGGCAGGCTCAGCCGCCTGCAGCTGTTGTGGCCCTGGACCAGCTGTGCACCTCGGAACTGTATCCCCACCATCCGGCTTAAAACTCACCGCAGAACGGGGCTGCTGTGTCAACCAGGGCCCAGCACCCAGAGGATGCTCAGTCGATGTGGTGGGGTGCATAGGGGGCCACGGGAAGGCTGAGAGCCACGCCACTGACCCTTGACCAAGGGTTATCCCTGACCCAGCCTGGGTGCAAAGGGGGAGGGTCAGGGGCTCAGGGGTTCCCCAAGGCTGCCTGGGAGGCTGAACAAAGACTCAGGGATGCGATCAGGGCCACCCAGGCCTCGGGAAGGCCGCGCCACATGGCATGGAGAAGCCCCTCTCACAGGCCAGGCTCTCCACACAGCAGGTGTTGTGGGCCGGCTCAACCATGGGAAGCATCCCACGGTGCCTCATGGGATAAACCCACGAGGTTCACCTGCAAGCAGCCCTCTGAGCTAGGTCCCATTTTATAGATGGAAAACTGAAGGAGCTCCCTGAAGCTGAGCATGGCAGAACCAGGACTCTGACCCCAAAGCCCACCCTGCCACCCCCTATGCTTCCCTTGATGGTCTGTCGGCAGAAGAAAAAGGGTCAGGTGGGTTTGAAACCCAGCACCAGCACCCAACCAGCATTCCACAGGCCTGCCTCCCACCTGCCACTGGCATGGGATCCCCACTGTGGATGGTGCTGCCACACAGGAGAGCTGCTGGGGGGAGGAGCAGTGTGGTCCCCGAGGCCAGGACCAGGACCCAGAGCTGCCATGTATCTGTTGGGAACGCAGGACACTTACCCTCTAGCTCGGCCATGGGCTGGAAGGTCTGGGTTGGTTTACACAGGCGCAGCTCTGGAGAGATGGAAGCAGGGCTGGAGACAAGGGCCAGGCAGGCACAGAGCCCCCAGCCCCACCCCCGCCCCGTCCCCCCAAGGCCCTGAGAGGCAGCCACTCACTCTGCCAGATCTGCTTCCTGCAGGCCCTCCGGTGGCACAGCAGCAAGGAGCTAGAGCCAAGTGCCACCGCCAGCACCAGGATCACGCAGAAGAGAACAGGGCCTGGAAAACAGGGTTGTGAGCCGGGGTCCCACAGCAGGTGCAGGGCAGCCCCACCCACCACGGCCTGCTTCTCCTAGGATTGATGGCAGGATGGCGCCTGCCCCAGCCCTCCCTCGCCCATCCTGGGACAAGAAGAGCCACTCCTCTCTCCATCGTGCAAAAGGGAAACATTGAGGCTCCCGAGCTTGCCCGAGGTCTCTCTCCCAGGATCGAGAGGAGGGTCCAGGTTCGGGCCGGACCAGGCAGCCTGTGGGGTGCAAGGTTGCTCTGTGGGCTATCTCCTGTCTCCTCATGGCCCTGGCAGAGATCACGAGCAGCAGCCCTTCTCATTCTACATCCATTTTTACTAAGGGCAACTCGACCTTCAAAGTGGATTTGAGATCCCTGGAGACCCGGAGGATACGCAGCCACGGGTCTGGGTGGGGGCAGCTGACTTGCGCTTCTAACAGCTTCCCAGGTGGTGGGGACTCTTGGGGATGACACCCACCTAGTGGTCGTGGTTAGAACTGCAATTCTTTTTAAAGATGACTCATTCATTCATTCATTCCATAGCACCACGGAGAACAGTGTGAAGATTTCTTTAAAAAACTAGAAATAGGGCCTGGCAAGATAGCGTAGTGGCTCAGGTCCTTGCCTTGAATACACCAGGATCCCATACAGACGCCGGTTCTAATCCCGGCATCCCTGCTTCCCATCCAGCTACCTGCTTGCGACCTGGGAAAGCAGCTGAGGACGGCCCAGAGCATTGGGACCCTGCACCCGTGTGGGAGACCCGGAAAGAAGTTCCTGGCTCCAAACTTCAGACTGGCGCAGCACCAGCCAGTGCGGCCACTTGGGGAGTGATTCATCGGATGGAAGATCTTCCTCTCTATCTCTCCTCCTCTCTGTACATCTGCCTTTCCAAAAAAAAAAACACACCTAGAAATAGACATCTAATATGATCAGATCCTACAACTACTGGGTATACACCCAAAAGTCTTGAATACAACAAATCAAAGATATACTGTATACTGTGTTTGCAGGGGAACTGTTCCCAACGGCCAAAGCTTGGCACCAACCAAGGCGTACATTATTACAATGGATAAATAAAATGTAGGATCTGTGCACCATGAAAGATGGTTTAAAAATCGATAAGAAAGAATGAAATTCTACAGTTTGCAGCAAAATGGACACAGCTGGAGGATATGATGTGGAATGAAGTAAGCCACACTCAGAAAGACAAACGCCACGTGTGCTCCCTCCTAAGTGGAAGCTAAACTTTACAAAACCAGAAAGTTTTGTGAAACTTTGCTTCCTATCTTTGTCAGACCAGTGACTGAGAGATTTACGTTAATGACCTGTGATTCAAATGTATCATGCGTGAGTGAAATGGCCATCTTTCCATTCAGTTACTACTCACAGTCCCTGTATTTCCACTAAGCTTTAAAGGTCTTTCTACTTTCCACTTGTTAAACTTCTTATTCAGTGAAATATGAAGCCATTTCACTGTGATGTAAGCCTAAAATACTTTATCTCAAAAGCTAAAAAAAAAAAAAGAGTAAGGGGGAAGGAGGGAGTATCATATTAGAAGTATATTTGCAAACCATACTGGATTTGTTTTACAAATATATAAACTTTTAAAGCCAGACAGAGTTATTTGAAGAGTTGGAGAGTTGCAGAGTTGGAGACAGAAACAGAACTTTTCCATCTGCTGGTTTCCTGTCCCAGCAGCTGCCACAGCCGTAAGCAGCAAACCAGCCTGCAGGACCCGGGGAGACCAGGCTGGCGTTCTGGTCCTCGTTCCAGCCTTCCCCAGCCCTGGCTTCCCAAGCCCTGGCTGCTGAGGGCCTCTGGGGGCTGAAGCAGCAGACGGAACACCTCCCTGTCCAGTAGGTACCGACAAGGACCACAGCACAGCCTGCTGCCCACACCTTTCTCATACTACGCCCGCCACGTGCCCCAAGTTACTGCAGGGGACACACACCTGCCTGGACTGACTCACTCCCCGAAGGCAGCAGCAGTCGACAGGGATGAATAAGACACGGGGTCTGTCTGCCCCACACGTAACCACAGTTCCCCAATCCACTGTCCCCAGGCTGGTGGCCCGCCGAGAGCCTTGGTGGTTTTGGTTTTAAATGGACCTGCCATTGGGGCACAGCAGTTAGGCCACTGTCCACGTCGCAGCCCATAAGGGTGCTGGTTCGAATCCCGGCTGCCCTGCTTCCCATCCAGCTCCCTGTTTGCACACCTGGGAAAGCAGCAGAGGTTGGCCCAAGTGCCTGGGCCCCTGCGCCCACGTGGGAGACCCAGATGGACTCCTGACTCCTGGCTTTGACTTGGCCCTCCCCTGGCTGTTGCAGCCCTCTAGGGAATGAACTAACAAATGGAAGAGCTCTCTCTCTTTTTTCTTTTCTCTCTTTCTCTTTCAAGTATATAATAAATAAATCTTTTTTTTTTAAAAAAATGTTTTTTTTTTAAATGCTTTCTCTAGGAGCAGCGATGGGCCATGGGAACGAAGCTGTGCACAAAGTCCCCACTCCCAACAACAGAGGACAAGCCCCCAACAGGCAACAGGGACACAGCCCCACCCAGCAGCAGGAACCCCGGGACCCTGACTCCCCACCCCCGCAGCCTGCCCCTGGGGCACCACTACCTGGATCCAGAATGGGCTTCCGGGTGGAGGAGGAGACGGGGGTGCTCACGGAGCTGCTGTGGGCGTCCAGGCGCGAGCTGAGTGTGGGCACGCTGCAGGGGGTGGAGAGCGAACGGGGTTCGGGCACCATTCTCTTTCGTGACGGTGTGGACATGGCCCCAGCCTGCTGACCTCTGCCCCAAGTCCCTGCCTGGCACACTAGCTGGGTTCCCCACTTTCCAATGGTGCCAGCACAGAGCTGCACATGCTGTCCCCAGGACCCCACCACCCCGCCCTGCTGCTCGCCCACCCCTACCCTGCCACACTGTTTCAAAGACACAGCAGGGGCAGCTCCGTGTCCTGCAGCAGCCAGAGGAGAGAAGGTCCTGGCAGTCACCTGGCAGGTGTGTCACTGTCCTCAGAGGTGGGGCTGCAGGCAGGGTGGCTCCCTGGGGAAGGTGGTTCGGAGGTGGAGCCCCTCTCAGCCACACCTGCAGAGAGTGACAGAGTGCTAGGGTCAGGGCTGGGAGCCTGGTGTCTCCAGGAAGGACATCATGAGCAGGGGCTGGTGACGTCTTAGGGGGTGGGGGTGGCACAGTGGGGCAGTGTGCCCCACGGTCCTGTGGCTGCAGTTGGCCATGGTGATTGAATTCATGCTACAAAAGATACAAGTGCGGGTCAGTGCAGTGACATATCACCCAGGCCTCTGTCTGCGGCCCCGGTATCCCATATTGGTGCCAGTTCAAGTTCCAGCTGTTCTATTTCCATCCAGCTCCCTACTAACTTGCCTGGGAAAGCAGAGGAGGACGGCCCAAGGCCTTGGGACCCTGCACCCACTGGGAGACTCAGAGAGGCTCCAGGCTCCTGGCTTCAGATCAGCTCAGTTCTGGCTGTTATAGTCCAGCAAGGGAGTGAACCAGAGGATAGATGATCTTTGTCTCTGTCTCTCCTTCTCTCTGTAAATCTATACTTCCAATAAAAATAAATACATCTTTAAAAATAAATAAAAAGAATGGCCTTAACCAATCACAAGGCTTTCTTTCTTTCTTTCTTTCTTTTTTTTTTTTTTTACAGTTAGCACGTTCTTAAAAGCAGGTAATATTTTTCATCTTTGCATTTGAACTATAAATTTCTTCTCTGCTTTTTCTGTTACCCGGAGTTTTTAATCACCTTTCCTTTTTTTGTTGAAAGAAAGAATAATGTATGGTGTGGGCAGAGCAGGTCAAGCTGCAGCTTGATATACCTGCTACAAGTGTGCTGGTTCAAGTCCCAGCTATCCTGCTTCTGGGCCTGCCCCATGCAGACGTGCCTGGAAAGCAACAGAAGTTGCTCCAAGAGAGGTGTTTACTCCCTTAATGGCTGGGAGCCTGGTCCCCATGTGGGTACAGGGAGCTGGTTGGGAAGTGGAGCAGCTGGGACTCAAGCTGACACCCCTTTGGGATGCTGGTGTTGCAATCAGCACCTCAACTCACTGTGCCATGATGCTCCCCCCAGCTTTTTTTTTTTTTTTAATAATATACTTTGACCACAGCCCCAGGTTTTTTGGCTCCACTAACCATGACATTTTCTGTAATAATTTTTGCATCTGTTGAGCCCTCCCTGGTCCCGCTCTGCTCTGGCTTTGCTGGAATGCGGCACAGCCCCGGTCTGAGACATCTCCTCCTCCTATCCCAGGACAGCCAGTCCACATTCCACGCCCTCCTCTCCCCTTGCTCTCTCCTTGAGCTAGGCTGTAACTTCACAGAACTTTTTTCTTTTTACCGAATATTTATTTTATATGAAAGCCAGAGTTACAGGGGAGAGACAAAGATCTTCCATCCACTTCTCCATTCCCAGATGGCCACAATGGCCAGTGCTTGGCCAAGCACAAGCCCGGAGCCTGGGGCTCTAGCCCATTCTCCCACGTGGACGCAGGGACCCGTGAACTTTGGGCCAGCATCCGCTGTGTTCCCAGAAGCATCAGCAGGGAGCTGGATTGGAAGTGGAGCAGCTGGGACCAAACCAACACGCTGGCATGGCAGGGTGCTGTCTGAACCAGCTGCACCACAATGTTGACGTTTAAGCAACTTTCAAAAACAAAATAGATAAGCTGTTTAATGTGTGTGAATATTTTCACTGTCCCTTCATAGGTGATTGCAACTCAGCTGGATAAACACGAGGCCCAGAAGCGAGGAGGAGAGGCCATGGTCCAGCGGGGACTGCTCTGGCCTGATGCTCAGGGCCCTGCATCCTGGCTCTGGCATCAGCTCTGTGGAACAAGATTAGGCCACAGCAGGTCAGTATACAGCTGGCATGTGGCCATCACAGGGGCCTAGCCACCCCCCCAAGGCACTTCCCCCTAAGAGATGCACGAATACTTTAAAGAGCTCCTAAGAAATGGAATAGAGCGGCCAGTGCTGTGGAGCCTCGGCCTGCAGTGTCAGCATCACCTCCCACGGGCACGAGTTCCAGCAGCTCCACTTGTGATCCAGCTCCCCGTAAAGGCCTAGGAAGGCAGCGGAGCTCACGTGGGAGACCTGGAAGAAACTTCTGGCTTCAGAGCTGCCCAGCCCTGGATGTTGTGGCCATTTAGGGAGTGAAATAGTGGATGAAGCCGCTCGCTCGCACGCGTTCTCTCTCCCCCCTTCTTTCTCTGTAGCTCTTTCAATAAGTAATTAAATCTTTATAAAATGAATAAAAATAAATAAATAAGTTGTCATCCTTGGTGGGACCTTCTGAGCCGAAGTACCGTGTTTCTCAGTTAGGGGTGCATGGCTGTGAGGCCTGGAGCTGCAGGGACCATCCTGCAAGCCGCAACCAAGGAAGTGACCTGTGACTAGCAGGAGGTGCCCAGCAAGACATTTGTGCTGACTGAGCCTGGCAGGTGCCACTCTGGGAGTGCAGAGTAGCCCCTGTTGAGTTCCCTAACCAACTGTCCAGGCTGACTGCTCCCCCGCCCCCCAACACACACACACACACACACACACACACACACACACCACACACACACACACACACACACACACACACACCCCAGGAGCCGCTTTCCGCCAGTAGAGGCTCCTGCGCCCTCTGCTGGCGAGGCTGAGCATCACGCTCACTGCCATGGAGAAAGGCGCAGGTGCGAAGTCAATGGGTCAGTAACAAGCACCCGCTGGAAGCCGTTTCTTGTCCTCTGATCTCTTACGTTCCATCTCCAGAGCATCCGAGGTTCCCTTTATGGCTGTAACAACTTGCGGGATTGTTCTGTGGACATGTGTTGACGCTTAATTCTCTTGCTGAATGTAGCGCTGCTTGCCACATGCTTTTCTGCTTGTGTACCTGGTTCCTGTCCGGCGCTGGGTGCTCCTTACAAGCTTGAAGCTCTTGGTTGCTCCACAGAATATTCCCATAGGCGGTGGCAAGGGAAGGGGGGAAACTTCTCCACAGTGTGTCAGCCTGGGTTCCAGACCCAGCCCCTGAGCCCAGCTTATGTGCCCCTGGAAGGCAGCAGGCATCAATGGCCTGCATCGTGGGGTCCGGCTACACACACTGGAGACCTGCATGGAGTTCCTGGCTCCCAGTTCCAACCTGGCACAGGTCTAGCCGTGGCATGCATTCTCTCTCTCTCTCTCTCTGCCCTTGTCTCTCAAAGATTACAAAGACATCATCAGCCGCTCTTAGAGACACGCCAAGTACGGATTCTGCTCCTAGTCCAAGCCTGAGCATGCTAACAGCCAGGGTGGAAGATCACAGCCTGGCCAGTCAGTGCAGAGGTTCAGCAGGAAGGGCATAGCGGGTAGGGACGGCTTACCCTGGGGGTCGGTGACTGTCCCTGGGGGACAGGCAGGGCGGGGCTGGCAGCGGGCGCAGGAGTTGGCAACGGACTTGGCACAGTACAAGCCCGGCCGACACTCGCAGATGCGGGAGGAGTTCCAGGAGCAGGGTGCCTTCTCCACAAGGTCATCTGAAGGACATAGAGAAGTGTCATGGCCAGGGCAGGGAGTGCATTTATGGAAAATTCTAGAAAATGAAAAGATTCCACATGGGCCAGTGCAGGTATGTACAGCTCAGCACCCTGGCTTCCTTGGGGGAGGGGAGGAAGCTCAGGGGGCTTCCAGGACCACCCCATCCCGAAGGTTAGGTTTTTTGACCTGCATAGGTGTCTGTAGCTATGGCTGTGTGGCTCCCCCAGGAAGGGCCCAGGTGACCTGGGCACCAAAGGTGTGGGATGAAGCCCCTTGGGCCGCTCGGTCTGGATTTACTGGGGGATGATGGGATCACACAGGTGGCAGTGGGAGATGACCTGTGGCTTTTATGACCAGGTTAAGAATTACAGCTAAGGGTCCTCTGTAGACAAGTCATGACATGTGGGTTGGGGTTCCCACTGGTGAGAACAGGAACAGAATTGAGGGCAGCAGGCGTGGCTGTACATGGCTACAGACTGCACCAGCACGGGTGTGCACTGGCACTGTGGAGTGACTCCAACCCCCCACTGGTACCCATGAGAGCCAGCTGTGTGTAGAACAGGCCAGACTAGGTGCTGACTCCTGCTGAACCACGTGACGGCTGTGTCTGGGAACAAACCAGGTGTCACTGGGCTGCAACACCCGACAAGAATCAGAATGGGTGTGGCCAGTTGAGTCAGGCCACTGTTCTTGCCAGGAGGTAGACAAAGTCAACCAGGGCCAATGACCCACTGATGTGCAAAAGCACTGTCACCGGGAGGAGACTCGAGGGAGGAGCTTGGGAAACTCCTTCAGTGGAAGGCAGCACTTGGAGGTGAGCACAAGCAGCAAGGCGAGGAGCAGCCCAGGCCACGCCAGGTTACAGTACCCACCGGCATACATGTGGGTGAGGTCTCGGGACAGACCAGTCTGGGCCAGCACATAGCACCCACTGGCAGATCTGGGAACCAAGACAGGGGGCAGGAGCAGTCAGATCGGCCCCCAGCCAACCGACTTTCAGGGTGTGGTGGGGTGTGCCTGGGGACCCCTGACCTCAGTTGCAGCCTTAGTCCCTGATTCCAGCCTGCTGTCCCTGCAGACCCCGGGAGGCACTGGGAGCAAGGCAGTGGGTGGGACCCAGAGCTGGTGCTATGCACAAGGGACATGGTGCCACTCATGAGCCCGGCATCCCATATCACAGCATCAGTCCAAGCCCCTAGTCCATCTCCCTGCTCTCCCAGGAGAGCAGTCAGCGAGGGGCTAAGTGCCCATTATACCCATGTGGGAAACCCGGCTGGAGCCCCTGGCACCTGGCTTTGGCCTGGCCTGGCCTGGCTGTTGTAGGCACTTGGGGAATAACCCAACAGGTGGAAAATTCTCTCTTTTTCTGTTACTTTCCCTTTTAAATAACTTTAAAAACGTTTATTTATTTATTTGAAAGGCAAAGTTAGAGAGGAGGAGAAATTTTCCAAGTGTTGGTTCACTTCCCAAGTGGCCGCCCCAGCTGGAATAGCTGATCAGAAGTTAGGAGCCAGGAGCTTCTTTCAAAACTCCCACATGGCAATCCTTGGGTCACCTTCTGCTGCTTTCCCTGGATGGGAAGTGGAGCAACCAGGACTTGAACCAGCAGCCATGTGGGATGTCTGGCAGCAGCTTAACCCAGTGTGCCCTGAGACCCGCCCCATGAATAAATCTTACTTTGTTAAAATTTCTTTGGTTCCTATCACATTGAGACCTCGACTGAACTTCAGCCAGGTATAGCTATTTGGGGAATGAACAAGCAGATGAGAGGGTGTGTGTGTGTGTGTGTGTGCCCCTCTCAAATTAAAAAACGTATATGTTCACTTTGCTGCACAGAAGTTTGAAATGTCTTCAAGAAGCTCGTGGAAAATACACAGTATCAACACACTACACAGCAATCTCCAAACCTCTCGTGCAGCCAAACAAGTTTGTCTTTCAGCTCCATTTTTCCACAACCCTTTGCACACACCTCCATCTGCTTGGAGCCTCGGCAGGCCCGCTCACTGGGGGAAGCAGCGCTAGGACATCCAGCAATGATCCAGCCCATCCCTCCATGGGACAGGCGGCTCAGAGACCCAGCGAGACAAGGCTGGCCCACCCTGCGCTCACAACCTCCCAGGAGGGAGGGCCGGGACAAGGGGCTGGGCGTTGGCAATAGGTGGATACAGCCCTGTGACCGGAAGCCCTCAGGGGCACATGTGGCTGTCTCCCCACCCACAGATGCCCCCACCCCTTGCTGAGATGCCCCAGGCTCCCCACAGGCAGCGCCCAGGCACAGATGGCAGGGCCTCACCATGCAAGCAGCTCACACAGGCCATGCAGCGGCCGGTCCCATCGAGGTAGTAGTCTGGCTGGCACTGCTTCTGGCAGGTGGGAGACCCCTGTGGGCACAGCAGCGCTGGAGACAGCCCTGGAAGGGAGAGTGGAGAAGCTCTGGGCAGGTCGCCCACCCCACCCCAGATTCATAAAGATCCACACCCCTTCCCTGACCACTGTGGGCAGCACCCCAACTCCCCACCTGTCGGATGAGTCCCATCGCACAGAGGGAGGCCTGAGGCTCTGAGAGGCCGGGGTGTCCCAGCCACGTGGAAGAGCATCAGCTACCACCCCGCCCCGGTCGTCCCTTTGTGGCTCCCATGCCCGCTCCGCCCATCCTCTTTGCAGCTGGCAGAACTTGCCCTGTGAGACCAGCAAGAGACAGGAGGGGCATCTGTATAATACTCCACAACAAAACACTGGGGACATGTTGTGGCACAGCCCTTTAAGCCACTGCCTGTGAGTTCACATCCCATATGGGAGCCAGTTCAAGTCCCGGCTGCTCCACTTTCCCATCCAGCTCCCAGCTAATGCACATGGGGAAGCATGGACATGGGCCCTTGGACCCGTGTGGGAGACCCAGACCAGCATCTGGGGAGTGAGCCAGCAGAGGGACCCACTTTCTCTCCTCCAGCCCTTTCAAATAAATAAATTGACATTTAAAAAATCAGCCCCAAGGGCTCCACTCTGGAGCTCCTCTCGCCACTCTGGGCAAAGCCCATAGCACCAAGGCTACCTTCCCTGGTTACCTGTACCTGCCTGTGCCCACACCTGCCCACGGGGCGCCACTGCCCAAGGAGATAACCAGCATCACGCACCCTTACCTGGGCCTGGGTCTGCACTGGGCTGGGTGCTGGGGGAGGGCCAGGTCCTCGGGGGTCCAGAAGCAGCCTCTACGGCAGGTGGGGCAGTCACTCTGGGCAGCGTGGGCCTGGTGGTGTTGGGGGACCTCGGCGTGGGCTGGGCCTGGGGCGTGGTGCCACTAGGGAGGGAGCCAGATGTGGCACTGACAATCCTGCCCCGAAGCCTAGGTCACTCCTGCTCAGGACACCCAGTCCTGGGGTGAAGGCGGCCCCAGGGCCCTGCCACAGCCTCCTGGGACCAGCATCATGTTCCCGGCTGGGTGCCTGGCATAAGGCAGACACACTGCGGAACCCCAGATGACTGTGGCATCGGCAGGGGGTACCCAGAGTCCCAGCACCTGGGGTGAGCCACGTCTCCTGCAATGGGCCCCCACCCCACTGCACCCTGAGGGACGGGCAACCCATCTGAAGGGAGGGGGAAGAAGGGTGAAGGCCAGGGGTCACCTGGTGGGCGCCTTGCAGCCCTCCAGGCTGGCACAGTCAGGGCTGGAGGCTGGCGAAGGCGGTTCACACACAGCGTCCTGGGCCGCGCCTGTGGGGGTGGCGAAAGTGACCATTCAGAGGCCGGCACTGCGGTCACAGCCTGTAACACCCGCCTTCTAAACAGAAGTGCCGACTCGAGTCGCAGCTGCTAACACACCTCGGAAAGCAGCAGCAGACAGCTCAGGTGTTTCGACCCTACAGCCACACGGGAGACCCAGCCCTGTCTGTTGGGGTCATGTGGGGAGGGAACCAGCAGATAGAAAGTTCTCTCTGTGTATATGTGTGCATGTCCCCCTGTGACTGCCTTTCAAATAAACACTTTAAAAAATAAATTAATTTTGGACCCGGTGCAGTAGCCTAGTGGCTAAAGTACCCGCCTTGCATGTGCCGGGATGCCATATGGCTGCCGGTTCTAATCCTGGTGGCCCTGCTTCCCATCCCGCACCCTGCTTGTGGCCTGGGAAAGCAGTCAAGGACGTCCCAAAGCCTTGGGACCCTGCACCCGTGTGGGAGACCAGGATAAAGTTCCAGGCTCCTGACTTTGGATTGGCGCAGCACCAGCCATTGCGGCTGCTTAAGTAAATCAACAAACAGAAGATCTTCCTTTCTGTCTCTCTTCATCTCTATGCATTTGACTTTGCAATAAAAATAAATCTTTCTTCAAAATGCATTTTAAGATATTTATTTGACTCAATATCTGAAATCAGTCAATATCTGAAATCAGTCGCACCAGCAGGTAAGCAGCACTAAGGGTTCATGAGATGGCGTGCCCTTTGCTTCTGAAACTCAGCGAGTCGGCCAGCTCTGGCCACCCAGCCTCTGCTGGGTGCCCTGCGAGGCCCCTGGCCAGGCAGACTGCCCTGGGCAGGGCTGCAGCAAGGAGGGCTGTCTGGCGCCACCGTGTGGTCGTCACGGGAACACAACCCAGACAGCCTCGCAGAGAGGGAGCCGTCTCCATGGGCACCGCACGCTCCAGGCCTCCCTGGAGAGATCAGGCAAGGGGAGGAGGCGCTGGGCCATGGAGCTCACGCTGGGTAGGAATGAAGCCCAACAGAGGGAAGGACAGGCAAAGGCCCAGTGGAAGGAGAGCAGGTGGAAGAACCGAGCTGACCAGCAGACGGGCAGGGCACTGTTGGGGGTGATGATCCTGCACCCCCCAGCTAAAGGCTTTGGACTTGGCATCTCCAGCCAATGCACGGAGACTGGAAGGTGGAGAGGAAACCACAGATCAGGTAGGAGCCGGGTGCCAGGAGGAAGCCTCACCGGCCCCCCGAGTTGTCGCTGTGCCTCCCACTGCCCTGCTGGGGAGCTGAAAGAGCCACCAGCAGCCTTGGGCATGTCAGAAGTGGGGGCTGGGCTGGCTGTGGGGGGAAGGGAGACTGACAACGTTAAACAACCCTCACACTGTGCCACAGGCACCTGCAGAAGTGGGCGTGGTTCACTTTGGCCCTCTATCCTTGTGGGCGCCCAGCTCCCTCGGAGCCCTGCCCACAGCCCTAGCTCTGCATGGCGGGCTCGAACCCACCACTCCCCACACCTGCTTCTGAAAGGCCCTCCTGGTGTCACCCGGCCCAGAAGCTCTGCCGCCCCTAAGGTCAGATATACAAAAACTCAGAGAGCGCTAAGACCCGCCTGAGGTCACACAGCCCATTGGGAAAGAAACTTGTGTGGCCCAGGGCACAAAGTGGGGGCAGGAGCAGTGGGGGTGCTGGATACAAGGTGCACGTGGGCATTGCCAAGGGAGCCCTGACGGCCCAGCAGGATGCAGGCTGCAGGTCAGGGCTGCTGGGGGTGCAGCAGCACAGTCCACATCTGGGTCCTGGGCCGCCAAGGGGGCCTTACCTGGGGACCTGTTGATGGTCCCTGGGGGACAGGCAGGGCGGGGCTGGCAGCGGGCGCAGGAGTTGGCAGCGGACGTGACGCAGTACAAGCCCGGCCGACACTCGCAGATGCGGGAGGAGTTCCAGGAGCAGGGTGCCTTCTCCACAAGGTCATCTGAAGGACACAGAGAGCCGTCCTGGGGTCGAGGCCGGCCCAGGGCCAAGGGCAGGGACGCACTGCCACAGAGGGTGTCAGATGCCCCTGTGGGCCTCTACAGGTCTGGGGTGGCATCTGGACCCTTCTGCTCAGAGCTCGTGAGATAAGGACAGAAAAGCAAGCAGGGTCCAGGAGGCGACCCTCAGCTCGGCCCCACCCAGCCCCCAACCCCGGGGGGTCACAGGGTCCAGCAGGCAACCCTCAGCCCCTCAGCTCCCAACCCCTGGGGGTCGCAGGGTCCAGGAGGCAACCCTCAGCCCGGCCTCACCCAGCCCCCACCCCAGGGGTCACTAGAATGGGCTAACAAATGCATGACTGCCCCAATTTTAAGACAGGCAAAAAAGAGGGTGGAACCTTCGATCTGTGTTCCTAAGTGACAGACGGCATGCAAGAGGCTGCTGGCCGAGCCCCAGATGTGACATACCAGGGTCACCCCCGAGGACCAAGCTGGAGGCCATGGGGGACAGGGGAAGGGGGGCACAGGCGTGCAGGGAGGACAGCGGACGCTAGGGCAGTGAACCCAGCGGTGGGTTGGAAGTGGAACAGCCGGGACCAGAACCAGTCCTCCGGTAGGGCTCTATGGACAATGGCTTCGCTTGCTGTGCCACAGTGCCGGTCCTGATGGAAATGCTGACAGTGGCAGCCGACGGGCCAGCAAGCAGGTGACCAGGGACGCTCTGCCCTCCCACTCGATTTTTCTAGAAGCCTAAAATTGCTCTAAAGAAAAGACACAAAGTCTGTTCATGTTTTTTAACAGGCAAAATTTGAACAGATACCTCACTACAAGTGACAAATAAATGGAAAAACTACGTAAAAGATCTCTGCTCATTAGCCGCAGGGAAATGCAAATTAACGCCACGAGCTGCCTCCTATAACACCAGCATGCCATGTGGGCGCCGGTTCCCAGACAGGCTGCTCCACTTCTGATCCAGCTCCTGTTAACGCACCTGGGACAACAGCGGAAGATGACCCGAGTGCCTGGGCCCCTGCACCCATGTGGGAGACTAGCTAAAACTGGCTCCTGGCTTCAGCCTAGCCCAACCCTGGCCATTGTGCCCACTGGGGGAGTGAACCAGGGGGTAGAGGAATCGTCTTTCTCTCTCCCAGACCATTCACAGGCAGCTGGATAGGAAGTGGAGCAGCCAGGCCTTGGACACGATGCGTGTCAGGTGGCAGTTTTATGACTAGGACAAAAAAGACACCAGCAAGTGTTGACAAGAATGGAGGGAGGCTGGAGTCCTGGGCTGGGGAAGCCAGCAGGGCCAGAGCTCAGCAGGGTAAGGGGGGACCTGCAGTTCTGCTGCTGCGGCTGCACCGGTGAGAGCCGAGAGCCCACGGACACACGGGGACTTGTGTGTGAGCGTGTGTGGCAGCGACAAAGTAAGCACGACTGAGCCACCGTCAACAGAAGGCGGGGAAGCCACACACGGTTCGCCCGTGATGCGGAATCATTCAGCTGCAAAGAGAACGATGGAGTCGCTCCATGTGGACGACAGCGGACACTCTGCTGGGTGACAGGAACAGCCACGGAAGGCCACGTGCCACGTGGCCACAGCCCTGTGAGCAGGGCAGAGTTGTGGAAAATAGAGGAAGGGGGCTGAGGCACCTCTTTAAGGGGAGGTAGAATGTTCTGGAATTAGATAGATGTGGTGACTACGCATCGGAAATATCTCAAAACTGAGCCGTGCACTTTAGACGGACGACCCCCCACGGTGAGCTGACTCACACTCTGTGGATTCTAACCCTGTAGTTTCTACTCCATAGTCAGAGTACTGAATCAACGCATGCCTGCGGCCAGGGCAGCAGAAACGCCCTGAGATGCCATCAGGTGAAAGAGACCCCAAGGCCTGAGACACAGCCCGGGGGGTTCTGCCAGGGAAGGCGGGAGAGGCTCTGGGGCCACAAGGGGGTACAGGTGCAGTGGGGTACAGGAAGAGGGGCAGGGGTCTGGGGAGCCAGTAAGATGAGCCCCATCACCCTCCCCACCTTCACCCCCCAAAGCTGGAAGCCGAGCTGGTGCCCCCAAATGAAACCTGGAGCTCCCTAGCCCCACTACGCAGGGCGGCGGAAGGGGGGAGCTTTCAGTGTCCCATCTGCAAACACCCCCAACCCCCCGCAGTACCACACACAACCCGCGCAGGAGGCCAAGTCCTGCGGCAGGCATTCGGCTGTTTGGGACACCTGCATCCCATGCCTGGGTTCGAGTCCCAGCCTCTCCACTTCCCATTCAGCTTCCATGCCCTGGACGACAGCAGGTGGCAGCTCAAGCTGATGCACCTTGTCATCCCCGGGGGAGCCCAAATGAAGCTCCAGGTTCCTGGCTCCAGCCTGGCCCAAGCCGGGCCGCTATGAACATTTGGGGAATGAGCCCGCAGGTGGAAAAGCACCATCTATCCTCTGGCCTTTCAAATCAATAAAAAGGAATTCTTTTTTTAATTATTACCCTTACAGTCACCTGCCAAGGACAGAGGGAAGGGCGCCAGCTGCTGGCTCTAATGCTCAGTGTGAGACGCCCACGGGCCATGCCTACAGAGCTCTGCGGAAAATTTGTCCAGGAAATAGCCCAGCTGCCCATGTTCTGGGGAGTGAGCCAGCTGGTGGAAGATCTCTCTCTCTCTCCTTTCTTTGTAGCTCTGCCTTTTAAAGATATACATAAATCTTAAAAAAAAAAGAACCATACCAACTCTGGTTTCCAATATTCAGATTGGGAGGTGTCAAATAAATTCCCCCCAACATACACAGCTCCATCCCCTTCCTGATTTCTTTGCTCACACACGTCGTCACAGCATGAGACACTGACATTCGGAGCAACACCAAGTCCCTAGGCAGACCTGACTGGGGCCTAACCCCGAGCCGACCGCCCACAGCTCCTCTGCTCCTGATGGCTCACTTTGCTGCCTCACCGCCTTGCTCGGCATCCGTCTCCCTGTGCGCTTTTCAAGGACTCACCATGTTTATACGTCCTGAGTCCTTGAACTCTCAGACGTGAGCATGTTCAGGATCTTGAACTCAGATGACACAAACAGTGCTCATATGGGATGCCAGCACCACAGACAGCAGCTTTACCCACTACACCACAGTGCCAGGACCTGAGCGAATGTCCTAAGCGCTTGGCCAACCACTTCAGAATGGCAATGTATTGTGGACAGCACTAAAATTATTCCATTTAGGACCCAGCATGATGGCTCAACTGGCTAATCCTCCACCTTCAAGAGCTGGGATCCCATATAGGCACCTATTCATGTGCTAGCTTCTCCACTTCCAATCCAGCTCCCTGCTTGTAGCCTGGGAAAACAGCGGAGGATGGCCTAGAGTGTGGGGACCTTGCACTCATGTGGGAGACCTGGATGAAGCTCCTGGCTCCTGGCCCTCAGCTCCTGGCCCTAAGCTCTTGTGGCCAGCTGGCAAGTAATCATCATTGTCCCTCTCTGTATTTCTCTAGATATAATTGTTTCAAATAAAATTTTAAAATTTTTCTTTAAAAGGATACCAGTTAAGAATGCCCAGGGTCCACATTTCAGTCTTAGCTTGACTCACAACTTGGCCCAAGTTCCAATTTCCCACCGTTTGGACACTGGAAAGCAGCAGTAAAGGCCTATGGAGCTGCGTCCTTGTAGCTACGGGGAGGCCTGGAGGGAATCCGAGGCTCCAGTTTTTTGGCCTAGCCCAGTACCGAGCACTGCGGGCGTTTGCTGAGCGAACCAGCAGGTGGAGTGGTCACTCCTTCTTTGCAGATGTGGCATTCTGTCTGGTTACCACCCCCCTTCCTCCACCAAGCTGCAGAAATACTGTCGGTCAACCAAGGACAAGCTAGGCTGCTGGAGATGGCCGGCTTGGCACGGCGGCCCCAGCTTTCTTCCCCACACGTCTCTGTATTGATTGGATTTTTTAAAATGACAAACATACATGATTCTCCTCTAAGAAGGAAACAGCCATTCCTTTGAAAGATGTAAAAAATGCACCAAAGAAATGTTAATATAAAGAAAGAGGGAGGGCCCGGCGTGGTGGCGCAGTGGTTAAGGTCCTCGCCTTGCATGCCCAGGATCCCATATGGGCGCGGTTCTAATCCCGGCAGCCCTGCTTCCCTTCCAGCTTCCTGCTTGTGGCCTAGGAAAGCAGTCGAGGACGGCCCAAAGCTTTGGGACCCTGCACCCACGTGGGAGACCTGGAAGAGGCTCCTGGCTTCGGATTGGCATAGTATCGGCCATTGCGCTCACTTGGGGAGTGAATCATCGGACGGAAGATCTTCCTCTCTGTCTCTCCTCTCTGTATGTCCACCTTTCCAATAAAAAAATAATAAAAATAAATCTTTAAAAAAAAAAAGAGGGAAAGGCAATATTTACACCAAGGAACCACGGAATGAAGAGAAAAAGAATTGTAAGGAACTAAAAGTTGTATTTCATGTGGATAAAACACTAAAGAAAAAACTAGTATTCGTGAACGTTCATGTGCCTAATCACATAGTCTAGACACAGATGCAAAGACGGAGAAGCACAGTGGTCAGTAGGACTCTGACACATCATCACCCTCGAACAAAGTAACGGTGATGAAGTTAAACACCACGATTACTGTCTGATCTAAGACACAGATAACCTTGCACACAACAAATAGACCACACATCTTATAAAAAAACAAAAAAATAAAACACTGACTTGGGTCTGGCACGGTAGTGTAGCGGCTAAAGTCCTCGCCTTGAACGCACTGGGGTCTCATGTGGGCACCAGTTCTAATCCCAGCAGCTCCACTTTCCATCCAGCTCCCTGCCTGTGGCCTGGGAAAGCAGTCGGGGATGGCCCAAAGTTTTGGGACCCTGCACCCACATAGCAGACCTGGAAAGAAGTTCCTGGCTTCTGGCTTCAGATTGGCTCAGCTCCAGCCGTTGCAGCCACTTGGGGAATGAACCATTGGACAGAAGATCTTGCTCTCTGTCTCTCCTCCTCTTTGTATATCTGACTTTCCAATAAAAATACATAAATCTTAAAAAAAAAAAACCACTGACCATTCTAAAAAGGTGACCACTTATTAGACCAGAAGATCTTGACAAATTTCCCCCACCATGTCCCCTGAAAACGCACATAAAATCAAGACAAATGACAGATGATCCTACAGAGCATGCTCAGTAACCACAGTCAGAAATTAGAAAATTAATGAGGCCAGCGTTGTGGTATAGCAGCGTAAACTGCCACTTGCAGCGCTGGTAACCCATAGTAAGCACCACCTTATGTCCCAGCAGCAGAGAATGGTCCAGGTGCTTGGGCTTCTGCCACATGGGAGACCCGGATGGAGCTCCGGGTTCCCAGCTGCAGGCTGGCCCAGCCCTGGCCTGTTGTGGCCAGTTGGAAAAGTGAACCAGTGGATGGAAGATCTCTGTCTCTCTCCTTTTGTAACTCTGCCTTTCAAATAAATAAAATAATTTTTAAAAAAAGATGCTAACCACAAAAGCACTCTTGAAGGAATTTTCCTGAGAGCACTGCGGCCTCAGGGAGAGAGCACACACAACTTGCAGGTCAAGCCATCGACTTGGACTCCAGCTCTGCCGGTGCGTCGACTCGGCTGCTTTGCAAAGCCCCTCAGCCTCACAGACTCCCCCATTCCCTACTAGGAGCCAGGGCGATGAAAGACATCTGCCACCCACCATTCCCCAGGACCGTGGCAGAGGCTGTGGTCAGCGTATAGAGCCCTCTTCCACAAGCACGCTGGGTCTCTTGGTGCACAGATGCAACTGACTCACACCCGGAGAAGAGACCCCAGGCGTCAGGTACCCTACTCTCCCCTTCCGGGTCCATCCCTCTTCTCCCCACCCCTGGAGGGGGCGCTTACCTGTAGAGCAGCTCACACAGGCTACGCAGCGGCCAGCCTCGTTCAGGTAGTAATCGGGTTCACAGTACTTCCTGCAGCCCTTGAGCCCCTGCGGGCACGGCTGCATCGGGACCAGCCCTGGGGAGGCAGCAGAGAAGGGAAGTGGGCGCTGAGGCACAGCGGACGCTCCTGGCATCCTATCCCCCAGGGCCCTGCAATCGCAGCCACTCCACTTCTAATCCAGCTCCCTTCTTCCGGAGCCTGGGGGGCAGCCAGTGATGGCGCAAGTTCCTGCCACTCATGTGGGAGACCCGGGGGGAGTTTCCGGTTCCTGGCTTCAGCCTGGCCAGGTCCCAGCTACTGCAGCCACAGAGGGCCTGAGCCAATAGATATGTCTGTCTGGGTGTGTCACTCTGCCTTAGAAATAGACAAATTCTTAAACGGGAAAAAAGTAGTAACAAGAAAGTCCAGGCCTGGTTCTCACCCTGACGCACCTGCAGCTCCACCTGCCATCCCAGACACGTGAGTTACCAGAGAAGTCATCAGAAAGTTCATGGAAAAACTTTGTTTCTCTGGCTGCAAGGAACTTTGAAATTCATGCAAAAGTGTTATCATTACACTCATTTTACACAAATTTCTGCAAACTCCCTTGTAGGCATAGATTTCGAATTTTTTGGCATCAGAATGAAACTCATTCAATTTCATGAACATTTTGAAGTGCCTGATAGATGGCTCTTCCAGAAGCAGCAGTTTTGTTCACAATCACCCAGCGGTGGGACAAGCGGCACAAGTCTGGACGCCCAGCGCTGCCACCTGCCTGCCTTTAGCAAGACACAGAGAATGACCTAATCATGTAATGAGGTTAATAAGGAGACTCACTTCTCAGAGCTGTGTCAAGGACTGACAGGACCAGGAGAATGCACGGTGTGACCCCGCGGCAGCCCAGCACCTGCAGGCACTGCACTGGGCTTGTGCTGCACTGGGCTGGCACTGGACTATGCCAGCACTGCATACACTGGGCAGATACTGCACTGGCTGACGCAGCACTGGGCTGGCACTGCATGCACTGGGCAGGTACTGCACTGGGCTGACGCAGCACTGGGCTGGCACTGCACTGGGCTGGCACTGGACTATGCCAGCACTGCACGCACTGGGCTGACGCAGCACTGGGCTGGCACTACACTGGGCTTGTGCTGCACTGGGCTGGCACTGCACTGGGGAGGTACTGCACTGGGCTGGCACTGCACTGAGCTGGCACTGCACTGGGCTGGCACTGCATGTACTGGGCAGGTACTGCACTGGGCTGGCACCTTCTCAGCAGTGGCCTTGTTTCCCCATGGGCACTGAGGGAACCACAGGGTGTACAAGCCAGGAGGAAGCACACCTCTTAGCTCCCGTCGTCGGAGGGAGACTTACAAGCTGTGCGGAAGCAGGGCACAAAAGGGGACTGAGATCCTGGCTGGCTGCCAGGGCTCTGCTGCCCCAACCTCTTTTTTCTGTTTATTTGTTTGCTGTTGTTGTTTGTTTGTTTGTGCCACACCCTCTTGCTGTCCTCTGGGAGGAGCCAGTGAGCCAGGCAGGTCAATCAGAACAAGCCACCTTCCTCACCACCGTGATGAGCTCCGCGTGGGCACATGACCCACGCGTGCCAGTCAATGAGCTTCGTCTGTGAGATTCTCTTTCCTGCACGACTGCGGGGTGAAAGGCTGGTTTGAACCCAGAGCCGCTGTTGGTTACAGCAGCCCAGGACGCCACACCCGGAGTCCCCGGCCCTGCCTGTACGGCTCCTGGCTTCAGCCTTCACAGACCTGGCTGTTCATTTGTGGAATGAACTAACAATTAGACTAACTCTCCAATGAGATGAACTAACTCTGTCTCTCTCATGGGATGTTGGCAGTGCAGCTGGAGGCTTAACCTACTGCACTATAAGCTGACCACCCCCCCCAATAAATAAATCTTAATGGAGAAAAGATGGTCTCAATGCAGTTACATCTCAGGACGCCCAGTTCTGTAGGGATGGCTCAAGCGGCTGAACTCATTGCTAACACAGCACCTTGATCTTGAAGGAAATTACATAGAGCAAAAGAGTTTATCTTTAATCTTTAACTTCCATTGCCCTACAAACTCATCTTTAGAGATGGAACCTTTAAGAAGTAATCTAGTTAAAGTGAAGTTGGTGGGCTGGGCCTGAACCAGCAACACCGGAGTCCTCACGAGATGGGGGACTTGGACACAGATGGACAGGGAGCCCAGGGGGCTCCTGCTGCCACGAGCCAGAAACCACCAGGAGCCAGGGAGGGGCCAGTCCTTCCCGCAGCCCAGCCCACACCTGGACCTGGGGTGTGCGGTCTGGAAACTCGGTGTTCCTTCCCCACCTGGGGAGGCCAGGCAGAGGGCTGGAGGGAGAAGAGGCTGCAGCAGACACTGCAGGGCCCACAGAGGCAGGTGCCAAGGGGCCAAACACCGGCCCAGGGCAGTCCCGGCCTGGGGTGCCCAGAACAGAATGGAACCCTCGAGCCACAGATGCTTTCCTCTGTTTGAAATTGGGGGCGCTGGAAGGTGCTTTTCTGTAGAGACGTACAGACAGGGAGTTGGGGATGCCATGGGCCAACCCAACTTGGGCAAGGAGTCGGGAGGGCATGGGGCCACTATGCAGAAAGAACATCACAGATGGAACAGGCTGGGGCACGCTGAGCTTGTCTGTGTCACCAGCTCTGTGGCGGGCACGCAGCAGCTGGGTCAGCGTGAGCCGCAGCTGCCCCTACAAGGCAGAGAAAGCTCCCCGATGCTGAGGGTACGTGAGCCACAGGCAGGGGAGCAGCTGGCAGGCACTGAGGCTGGCTGAGGGAGGAACCCCGGGACCCACAGAGCCTGTGGGTCCTAAAGGTCTCCCAACTTCCTTCCTCCATCGCCCGCCCACGTGTGCACCCCGCCACCCGGCTGAGAAGACAAATGTCAGAAATTTCCCTCCCAAGGTGAAGGAGGGTTTTTGGGGGGGTTTTCACTTCCCTCTGGCTTGCCCAGAAGCCCCCAGTCAATAAAACTCCTGCAAAAGCCCCGCCCTGCCTCATCAGCATGGGTGTGGCCTTCAAGAGAAAAGTGGGGGAAGGGAGCCCCTACCCTAAGCCACAGTTTCTCTACAGAGGAGTGGAGGGGCTGGGAGGGGGGCGTCCCTCTCTCTGCACCCCCCCCTTCCCGCTCCCTGGCCAGGCCTGGCCACACTGGGGCCAGCAGAAGACAGGAGAGAAGTGTCCTTCTTGCTCTCCATGGAGTCACAGTGGCCACACCACTGCAGGCACCATGGGGGGGAGGTGACAACCATGACCAGGGTACCCCAGGGGAAGCCATGTGGGAGCTTGTTCAAGCAATGGGACAGGAAGGAGGACTCCCTGCAGGAATGGGGGTTGGGGGTTCAGCAGGGAGAATGATAAAGGGAGAGTACCCAGGGTAGGGAGTGGGGACCTCAGGTAGAGAGCGTGGGGGAACCTCAGGTGTTGGGGGAACCTCAGGTTGGGGGGCAGGAGGAACCTCAGCTGGAGGGGTACCTCAGTTGGGGAGCGGGAAGACTTCAGGTTGGGGGGGCACATCTGCAGGCCTGAAGACTTGCAAGCACACAGGAGGTGCAGATGACACCAAGTCCAGACATTCCCACAGAAAAGCTGGAAAAGAACTGGAAAGGCCCAGGTGCCTCACCGTCCTCAGGAGACACTAGGCAGTTACCCGTCAGAAGACTGGAGGCATAGCTAGCAAGTGGGCAGACAGACGGAGGGACTGACACATGCATGAGCAGGCGAGTGAGAGGACAGATGAGAGGGATGGGAGAGTTCAGGGCGGGGGAGGAGGGATGGTGGCCGGGTGGGGAGATGGGAGGAGAACAATGCTATGCACTGAACTGTGGGTCCCAGCACTGCCATGTTCTGAGACCTTGACCCTGCATGACACATCTGGAGACAGGACGTTGACAAGACATTTAACTAATGTCTCCCAGGATCAGTGGTATCCTTTTCCAAAGAAGGGGAGAGAATGGGAAGGGGGTATCCCGGGAAGGCCACCATAAGCCCTGCAAAAGCCTTTACAGGAAACCTGGCTGGGGACCTCGTGGCGTCCAGGACGGCAACGATGTGGACTCTTGCTTCTGGTCCCGTCTACGGCGTCTTGTTACGGCAGCCACAGCTGACTAGGCTAGTCAGAAGATGGACGGACTGGGGTAGACAAGGACCAGGGGAAGGAGCAGGGGCAGGTGCATGGCAGGGAAGAGGGGTGGGCTGCAGCCCCAGCACCGGAGGTAGCCAGGTAGCCATGACCCTTCACCCCAACTCTATGGGAAGCAGAAAGTGGGAGGGAGAAAGTCCAGCCCCGTCCTGCTGTCCCTTCCTCAGTGACCATTCTGAATCATTTCGGGAAACAAAAAACTGCCAAAGCATCGCCTTCTTTCCTCAAACCTTTCCAGCCTTGTCCCTGGGTGCCCTGAGCCCGGGCTGAGTGGCACGCACAGCAGGGGTGCGGTGGCCACAGGGCTGGGTCACCTGCCCAATACTCCCTCCGTGACCCACCCTGACAGTGGGCACGGGCACCTCCTCCATCAGGAAGCCCTCCAGACAGTGCTGACCATGCGAGGGGCAACCACGAAGCCCACACGACTTCCCCCGCCCTCTGCTGGCGGCCCCGTGGCTTGGAGCCCACAGCCTTCCCACTACCTGGCTGTCCCACTCCAAGTACCCACCTCCTCAGACCTTATGGGCAAGAGAAGAGCCACGCCCACCCTCGCTCCAGCAGGATTTCTGGGTGCTCTTCCAGGCACCACTCACTGCCCCCAGAGGAAACTCATGGTGCAGGTTACCCCATGATCTAGATGTGTTCTGGGGTGCGGCAGCTGCCCATCTGTGCGCCCATCTGCCACAGGCCCTGAAGGTCCACTGGGCTGTTCCCGCAACCCTGGCTTTAGGGTGTGCACCAGTTCCAGCTGGTTCTGTGACTCCAGGCAAGTGACCTAAGCTTGCTGAGCCCAACATCTTCCTGGGCAACATGAGAACAGAGTGAGCATGGCAGCCATCCCTGCTGGGCATACAGGAAGTGCCCAATAAGGGGCAGCTCTGAGTTACAGAAGGTGCTCAAACGATGCAGTGGCAGCAGAGCAGTCCTCTGATGTCACCAGCATACCTCCCCCCTTGCTGTGTCTTATAGTCTGAGGACAGAGAGCCCCACCCAGAACCCCAGCCCAGGCAGGGCCTCTACTCACCTGAGGGGCAGCGGTAGCAGCAGCTCTCAGCAGCCTTGTCATAGTAGAATCCGAGGTCTTCGGCGCAGAGGTCCCTAGGGGCGCGATCCTGGAGGGTCAGAGACGGTGGTGAGACTGGGCCTCTTCGCCCAGTCCAGTCCCAGGGGCCCGGTCACAGCCATAGCTGGACCTGAGACCAAGGTCACGCTCCAGAAGTCAGGACAAGGGGTAGGCAAATGGCACAGGTGTGAAGACACCAAGCCAGACACCCAAGGCTGCATCAGAGTGTCTGGGTCCAAGGCTGACCGCGCTTCTGAGTCCAGTGTCCTGTCAGTGCACCCCCTGGGAGGCCGCAGGCTCAGTCCTGCAACATGGGAGACCAAACTGGATCTGCAACTCCTGGCTTCCTCATGGCCGCCTCGTGTCCCCAAGTTGTCCCCTTCTCTGAACCTCAGGCAGGCAGGATCACATTTAACACATGTGCCAAGGGTACCACATCACCCCAAAGCCATCCTACCAAAGTTCACACTCTGAACCAAATCAAGGCGAAACAAGTTGTCCAAATGTGTGTGTGGAGGATGAGAAAGAGCTGGGGAACATTCCAGAGAAAAGGAACGAGATACAGAGGCTGAAGGGCATGTCTGCACTGATGGTGCATCAGTGTGGGAGAGGGGACCCACTGGGATTATAGTGGTGAGATCGGGCTGTGGGTTTGATCCTCAGTCAAGTGAGCAACATTGAGTGTCTGCATTCAACGAGTTACATAAGAGAGGCCCCTTGTAGAAGAAACAGGCTGAACCATTTCAGGGAGAAGGATTAAATGCCTGCAACTAACCTGCAAATGACTCCACACAAGAGAACTAATATCCATACCAATATGAGAACTAATATCCATACCATCCACGCATATGTGGGGGAACCCAAACTTCCAAGACTCAGCAGGTGTCAGTACATACCCTGTAGTGGCCACCAGAGGGGGCTCTATCTCACTGTCCAAAGGCCAATGGACATCTCAGAATGCTGAGTCCCAGGAAACCGCGTTAGGGGCAGGAGGGTCTGGGGACCCCATTTTCCATGTAGCACTTCTCTAGTCACGCCACTGAGGGGCTGGCCCTGGGTCTCCCCAGCTATTCCCAGAGGTGTGGGTGGGGACCCAGTTCAGTCCCTTCCCAGATGTCCCCAGGCCCCCGTGGCTGGCCTTTCCCAGCAGTCGCTGCATAGGTTTTGTGGCCTATGATGTCATTGCCTCACTAGAGCTCAGAAAAGGGGGTCGAGTCGATGCACATGCATTGCTGTCATAGAAACAGCAGTTTCTGAAGTCAGCAGCCCCAGCAGACCCTGTGACCATGTGGCAAAAGGCAAGGGCCCACCAAGGCCCGGACATCACGTGGGGTTGAGATTTGAGGCCTGGGTGGGTGTTGTTATCTGCAGGATGGACGCCCACAATCCACACTGGGGGACTGCTCTAAGACCCAAGTTCTCTGCTCCCCATCCAGCTTCCTGCTAAGTTGCCTCAGCAGGTGGCATAGGTCAGCTCAAGTACCTACGTTCCTGCAACCCACAGGGGGGACCCAGACAGAGTTCCGGTCCCCTAGCTTCAGTCTGGCTGAGCTCTTGTCCCCCCAGGGCACCCCGGCCTGTCGGCTAGAGAAGCTCTGCCATAGGCTGCCCTGTCTATGGTCCAGGCCCTGCCCCCTGCTGCCTCGCCCATCTGCCACACTGCCCGCTTACAACCCACCTCTATCCCAGCTCCTGGCAGAGAAGGAGGCCGCTTCAAGAGGGAAAGAGGGGATTAGGGGTGGGTGTCGCTCCGGGCCCTGCCTGGGAAGGAAGGCGGGAAGGAAGAGCAGAGTGGGAGGGGGAAGCCCGAGAGTGGAGATGCGGCTGTTGGGCGGGGATCCCCAGCCGGCGGTAGGCCCAGTGAGGTGTCCACGGGATGTTGAGCCTGCAGCCAGTACCGGTGGCCTCACGGTCGAGAGGGAGAGGCCCAAGCCCGAGCCTGTCTGGGCTATTCTCAGGTAGCTTGGCTTTCCCTGTGAGACCTGGCAAAGTTCACTTTCAAAAGTCCCCACCTGGTCTGAACCCACACCTGCGCCCGCCAAGCCTGGGCCGTCAGCACAAGAACAAATCCTCACGGGGCCCAGAGCCCGGCAGGGAAGCCCCTCGGCGCCCAGGGAGCCCCCCACCCAGACACCTGCTGACTCCTGGGGCTGCCCCAGCCTCACCCAGCCACACTGGAATCTGCATTGTCACCAGATTCCTCTCCCCTGCCCCCCAGGAAGTCAGGTGCATGTACATAACTGGCAAATGCTGGTCTAAAGAAAGAGGTACAAACACTGCGTCCCTTGACTTCCAGCAGGAGGAGTAAATTAACAGCCCAGCGTGACGAGCACACTTTACAGAGGGCAAAATTGAAGCATGGGGCAGTGAAGGCGCTTGCCCAGCATCTCACAGCTTGGCATGAGGGCCAGGGTTTGGCCTGGAGCCACCCTGCACACGCTCCACTCCCCCAGGCCCTCCCTGGACACCCCGTTCTGGGTCAAGGCCACAGCTCTATCCCTGGAGTTCCTCAGGGAGACTGCCTCCTGGCACACTAAGGTGCCTGGCGCGAATCCTTGTGCCAAGCTGCGTTGCTGCCAGCTTTGGGAAAGGCCACAGGCCATGGGGTCATGGCATTTTCTTCCATTCTCTGCTCACCTACTCCCAAACCTGTTCCCTTCACTCCACCAACAATGTGACGTGGTTCCAGGAACAGGTCAAGGTGGGGTATTGCACTTCCCAGAGGACAGATGTTCTGACAACCACATCCCTGTGTACCAAGAACCGAGGAGCCACACGGTCATCTCCCAGCCCTGCACCCAGAACGCTCACCTCTGCTCCCCTACCTTACACACAGCCCCAGGTGCACAAGGCCTGACCTAGATCGCGGGCAGCACCCTCAGCTGCCCTGTAAGCAGGGGCCAGACTCGTTCCCCGCTGCCCTGGCCAGGGGACACAAAACCAGTCACTCAAGATGCAGCCTGACTCCCTTCATGGAACAGGTGTGCATCACGGTAGCGTGCATGTGGGCTAGAAGGGGAGGCGATGGGAAGGGGCTGAGATCACAGAACAGCACCCCTCCCCCGCTGTCCACACCCCCAGCCCACAATCCCCAGGCAGCTCAGCGCGCTCAACAAGAGGGCCCGAAGGAGGCCGGGGGAGTAAAAACTTCCATATCAGCTGACCTTGAGATGGGAGACTCTCTCGTATGATCTGCGCCATCCTGAAGGTCCTTAAAAATTCAACGGCACTGGGGACTCAGATCCGAAGAGGTGATGAGAGTGAAAATAGTGCCAGAGACACCACGCTGCTGGACACAAAGGCAGAGGCCACAAGTCAAGGCGCTCGGGCGGCCTCTGCAGGAGGAAATAGGCCCAAGGTTGGGTTCTCCCTGGAGGAGCACGGCCTTGCCCACGCCTCGTTGCCAGCCCAGTGACGGGGCAGGTGTTCAGCACAGCAGCTGAGGATGCAAGCACACCTCATCAGCGGGCCTGGGGCGGATCTTGCTCAGTTTCCTTCTGACATGCACTCTGGAAGGGGGCAGGTGGTGGCTTGCACCCCTGTCATCCATGTGGGAGACCTGGATTGATTTCTGGGCTCCTGGCTTTGGCCTGTATTTAAGAAGTCAGTCAGCAGGTATCAGCAGTCCCCCTTCTCCTCTTTCCTGCCTTTCAAGAAAGCCAAAACATCTGTAGAGCCAAAAGATGGTCACGGAATCACTTAGTCTGCGGACACACAAGAGGGCACTAAAGAGGGCCCTGATGGGAACGGCAGGACTGGCAAAGAGGAGTCTCAAGTCCCCGTCCCACGTGTCCAGCATAACTCTGGCAGGGGCTGGACACGGACCCACGCACAGGGTGGCCTGGACAGGAGATGCCCAGCTCTGACACCAAGTGAGTGTGGTGGGAGGGACGATGACAGGAGACGGCTGAGAGCAGGAAAACGCACGGAGATTTCTCGGGCAGCAGCGAGTGCCGGCGGCAGCATGGTGAAGGAAGAGCGCATGCGCTTACTCTCAGTCGGCCGGTTAGTCAGTCGGTCAGGGAGAACAGCCCCGCGAACAGGAAGTGAGGTCTGGGGTCCGTGGGGGGGACACTCGGGTAGGAGGTACAGCTGAAACAGAAGCAGGAAGGCCAGGGCTGGAGAGGGCCTGGTGGGAGCAGGAGGATGCTGGCCCTGGGGACATGCCTGCCCTTACCTCCCCACAAGCATTTCCCCCAGCATCATCTGTGAGCAGGTGAAAGACGACAGGCAGACTACCAGCAGGCCGAAGAAGCGCTGAATTCCACAGCACAGCTTTTTGTTTTAAACCTCAGAGCCTCTCCCTGTTCTTCCGTGATCCCAACCCTAACCAGCCAGCCATGCCACCCTTCTCTCCGGGAACTCCTGTTGCCCGGAAGTGACTTTCAGAAGTGCTGCCTTTGGCACTGGGGAGCCCATGCAAAGTTGGAGACACGGATGGCCAGGGGATGTACGGGCTGCCCAGGGTCCGGAGAATCAGTGGCTCTGGCAATGCCCAAGAGGACTGCAGACAGGGCTTGAAACATAGGAACTCAATGAAGGATTCTGTATAGCCTCCCTGCCCAGCCAAACTCCTGTGCCTGCTTCAGGAGCCGCTAGCTCAGGCTGCAGCCTTCCGGAAACTTCTGGGGCCGCAGCACGCTTTGGAGGCACACACTCAGCTGTACTTCAGATGTGGTAAAAACCACTCCAGTGGGGCGGGCCTTGTGGCACAGCGGGCGAGCCGCGGCTTGGGAACCCGCACATGCCACCGGAGTGCCTGGTTTGAGTGGCAGCTTCCTGCAACTGGGAAATCCAGAGAGAGTTTGGGCTCCTGGCTTCGGCCTGGTCCAGTTCCAGCCAGTGTAGCCATTTGAAGATGGACAATCTCTCCCCGCCAAGAGATCTTCCATCCACTGGTTTATTTCTCAAACTGTTACAAGGGCAGAGAATGCTGGGATGGATGAAAGGCAAGAGTCTGGGATGCCAGCAAGTGTCCCACGTGGGTGCAGGGACCCCAGCATTGGGCATCTTCTG